CCGCTTTGCATAAAAACTATTTACGGGGAAATTTTTTTACAAAAACAATACTACTTACGAGGACAAAAAATTATTGAGTACACTAAAATGTCCTTGTTACTGCAAATGTCCTTGTAAGTATCCATTTTAATGTAAAATCTGTTTTCAAACATACTACTTTATGGATATATATATATATATATATATATATATATATATATATATATATATATATATATATATATATATATATATATACACACACATATATATATATATATATATATATATAAATATATATATATATATATGTATATATATATATATATATATGTATATATATATACATATATATATATATATATATATATATATATATATATATATATATATATATATATATATACATATATATATATATATATAAATATATATATATATATATATATATATATATATATATATATATATATATATATATATATATATATATATATATATTTAATATTGACCTTCAGACACACATACGGACACGCACACACATGCACACACAAATTTATTACAAGAATTTGCAAGTTTTGCAATAAAAAATTTTTTATTTTTTATGTCTTTTATTTTATATAGCATTTTGTTTTATGCAATAGTTTAATGCAATGTTATAGCTTATAAATAAATCAACAGGTTAAACTAGATCTGCAACATTATATTATATTAAGAGTAACATCACATTATGTAAAGAGTAGTTAAACAAGATTAAAGTAAAATTCACACAATAAGTAATGCTAAAAATAGTGAAAATTATATTATATTAAATGCGACTTTGAAAATGCAATAAACATTAGTGAGGACTAATGTTGGACAGCCTCGGAGAATAAAACTGATATAGAAAATTTATATCTAGATATATCGAAAGCTTTCAACACATTTCACAACTATCTCCTACTTCTAAAATTAAAAGCATACAGAATTTATGACAAACTTTATATTGAATTTGAATGTTACCTAAGAGATTTGCATTAGAGTATCATTGTTGGTGCTACATACTCAGAATGGATATTAGTTAATAGTGGGGTCCCCCATTAGTTACTTTTATGATATATATTAATAATTTTTCTGATTTGGTTTTAGATGATTTATCTGTATTTGCAGATGATACTAAGTTATACAGTTTGCTTTTTGATAGCTCACCATGCAATAACCTGCAAAAACGTATGGACATTATAGCAAACTGGGCAAAACTATGAAAATTAGGTTTTAGTGTGAAAAAATGTAAAGTTATGCCCTTAAGACTAACAAATACAAAATTCATTTATATACTCATTGATAAAAATTTCAATACTTTAATTAATCTTAAAAACTCTCTGGTCAATAAAGGAATCTTCATTGACAATAATTTGACTTTTATTTTGTAAGTACAAAGAATAACACCACCGATAAAATTGTAGAAATGATCAAAAGATCATTTGTCAATCTCAATATCTTGACATTTTGTATTGTGTTTGTTTTCCTTGTTCGTCCTCACCTTGATTCTTGTAGCTCTGTCTACTATCCTAGGCTTTAAAAAGATCAATAATTAATTTAAAATGTTCTATGCTAATCTAGTAAATTTATTTTTGGCCAGACTGGACTCACTTACAACCAAAGACTACTGAGACTAAATTCAACTAGCTTTTTTTTTTTCTCTTTAGTTACCAATCAGTATTTTATCTATTAACATCTGGGTCAGAGTGATGTCATCTGCACAGCCATTATTTTTATTATTGTTATTACAGGCCATTACGTTGTTAATCTAAGTTGTAATAGCACGCGTGTTAATATGGTCACTTCTCAATGTTAATATATGATTATATATTTAGTTAGTATTTATTCCTCCATTATGACTAACTCCAACTTAACAACATGTGAACATGCATATAAATTAAAAAAAAAAGTTTTGTAAGATAGATGTCCGGAAAAAATTTTCTAGTATGCAATTCACAAATTTGTAGAATAGTCTACCATCTGAAATAGTATTACACATCTGTCACGACATTTAAAAAACGTCTAGATGCATAATGGGTTCATCAAATGTACAATTGCATATAAACAATTAGACCAACACATTTAGATACAATAGAACAAAAGGTTGATAGGCTTTTTTATATACTTATTTATTCTATTTGTAAAATTGTAACCTTGGGAAATAATAATAATTTCAACATTAATAATAATAGCAATAATAATAATAATAATAATAATAATAATAATAATAATAATAATAATAATAATAATAATAGTTTGTTATATCAAATTTCTTATAATAGTTATTTGCCTAAAGATACTTTGAATTCTTCCAATAACAAGTTTATTGGTATTTCATATTTTAATGAAACCAACCCTTATACTTAAATAATAAATGCTGTTATCATTTTTTTAAATGTTAAATAGTAAAGTTATACATTTTACTGTATATTTACTTCAGTATGCCAGTAAACGAACTCTTTTTTTAATTATAGAGTATAACTTTATTTATTGTAAAAATAAAATTAATATAAAATTAAATTTTAAACTAATTAAACACCAAATAATTTTTATGTTTATTTTTTTAGTGTTGTATATTAAAAACACCTTTTTTCAGTATTCCATTACTGAGAAAAATAATCTATGGCTGCCTTACTCATTCAATTGAGCATGAGATCTTAATCTTATGCTAGTTTGAATCTCGTAATCTCGGGGTAATATTTACTTGGAGCCTCAAGTTTTATATCTTCCTTAATGTCATATTTAAATAAGAAAATATTATTATGGAAGCCTTTCCAAACGCACAAATTTTAAAATTCACTTTTTTTTTACTAACCAATAATAATACTATACTTGAAATAAAAAGCGATTACATTTAACATGAAGAAATGAAACTCAATAATTTTTAGACTAATTTTTTCAGTTAAAAAAATTAATAATCTGAAAAAAAAAG